ACTCTGAGGAGCACAGGGACTGGCCTCTTGCTGGGACTCTGAGGAGCACAGGGACTGGCCTCATGCTGGGACTCTGAGGAGCACAGGGACTGGCCTCTTGCTGGGACTCTGAGGAGCACGGGGACTGACCTCCTGCTGGGACTCTGAGGAGCACAGGGACTGGCCTCTTGCTGGGACTCTGAGGAGCACAGGGACTGGCCTCTTGCAGGGACTCTGAGGAGCACAGGGACTGGCTTCTTGCTGGGACTCTGAGGAGCACAGGGACTGGCCTCCTGCTGGGACTCTGAGGAGCACAGGGACTGGCTTCTTGCTGGGACACTGAGGAGCACAGGGACTGGCCTCCTTTGAATTGCGTTGTGGACCAACTTACATTGCCTTCTTTTTGATTGAAGACTAAATCCACATAACTTATTTTCTTGTAAATCACTTTGGGTTTTTCACTTGTGTGTGAATTGTGCCAAACAAATACCCTTTACCTTGCTAACTAGAGCCAAACAAGACAACAAATGACTACTTAAACAGAGACGTGTTCCTGCAGTTCATTCACTTGTACACATTTTTTTCTCACCTCATCAGGAGCAAATTAACAGAAGAGAGAAGATAGTCTGAGCATTTATGTGTCTGGACCGCGCAGGCTAAAAGCAGTCAATTAAAAGCTTGCATTGATGTGAGGATTATGCTATTAGCTACTAGCAGCATTCTCATTACTGCGTTCCTCTGCGCTCGCACAGACAGAGACCGGGAGAATGCGTCTCTGCGTTGATAATGGCTTTTGCTCTATTTTTGACGAACCTGTGTGTGTTTCTTTTCATACAAAATACACCACTTGAGCAGACTGAAATGGCTGTTTGTTTTTGTGCATCATACTATGGATTAGGAGGCATGTTGAGGCAAATATGCACTAACTGTACACTATAGCATTTGATCATAATGTTTTAATAGTATGTGGGTAAGAAATGAGCTTAAAATTAGGGTTCAATTCTATTCACAACTAATGGAACTATGCAACCCTGTTTAACACTATGTATCCTTCTGAATTGGATTGGGTTGTAATCGTCCACATTGTTGCATGAAACACTATGTGAAGCTAGACAGACAGCGAACGGTTAAGAAAACTTTGTAGACAAGGCTTGCTTTTCTTATTTTATAGAGAATCTTGAGTTTTGTGTATTGTACCCAAAATGACCAAACCGTAACAACAGAAAGATATGCGTCACTATCAACGTCTGTAAACACGAAATAATATACTGCGATAGCTAAATAGATATAGCACTAACTCTGCTACAGGTCAATTTACAGTCAAATAAAACTTTTGTGTGGCCCTAACAAGGTGCTTACAAAGAGTAAGTTTGCCGAGGCTCAACACAAGAAAATGTGTGAAAAGAGTCGTTCAAAATTCTTGCTTTTACAAGTTGCCGAGAGAAACAAAGATTGCTCCAAAAAAAAGGGAGCGCTTACTCTTCGCTGACAGGAAACTGATGTTTTTTAAAGATGTCTCACTCTGTTTCCGCACAATAACTTATTCAACGTGTTACTTAGCATTTATTAACTTATTGTATTTTTGATCTAACTTTAGAACTATAAACCAATGAATTATGTCTTTGAACTTGAAGACATGACATTTATCATTATAAAGGATATTTGAACGCTCAGTCTTAACTTCATATTTTAGTAAATTCAGGTGAGACTGACATCACCAGATAAATTACAGTCGAGCATCAATGTGGGACTTAATCCTGGTCCCAGAACCATAACTTTAACACATTCACTTTAACCACAGAGAACCCTAACCCTGTGAAACATTGATCCTGGGTAAACAAATGCTACCTTGATCTTGGGCTGTTAAATACTTCTATCAGATCATCCGGAGACGCACTGCCTTCGAACACACTTTTGCTTTGAGTCTGGTTCACTTGGTCGCTCTGGCTAAGGGGAAAAAATGCTTCAGAGATTTTTTTAAAACTAACTGACGTAATAATAATAATAATACATCTTAATTTGTACAACACTTTCCAAAAGATTCTTTATAAATTGCTGCACAGTAAGCCAAAAGTTCATATAACTGTCATGATAAAACAAAAATCAAAGAGAAATACAGAATAATTGAGCAGGCAGAGGACACACAACGAGAAATACAAATGTTTACAACAGACTAACAGCGAAAGGACGGCTGTTTGGTAAAGATGTGTTTTAAGAAGTCATTAAAAAGAAGGTACTGTTGGTTCTAGCCTTATTTCCTCAGGCAGGTTGTCCCAGAGTTGAGGAGGCCAGACCTAGAAGGCTCGATCATTCTTTGTCCGGAGCCTGGACTATGTGACCAGGGGGCACATGGTCCTTTGTTTGGTGGTTTTACATGTACATCCACGCACACACCATTTTAAAGCAATTCAATGAACCGAGTTGACCAAACCAACGAGTTGAGAACATGCATCAAACTGCATCTCAACCATTTGGGAACGGCCTATATTTAAGAATAAATAGGGGTTAAAAAAACAACCTAGACAAATGACTGTTATTATTAGTGAATATTTGAACATCCAAAAAACAAAAAAGGGCATAGCTTTCCTGAAGGACTGAATGCTAAAGCGTTTGAGCATGCCATATAGATTGAAATGGATATTATACAAACATGCAACAGGCTGATTATTTCACACTTTTCTCCTCTCGACAGCGCTCGACCTTCTCTCTTCGTCGTCTTTGCTCACATTAATCCATGTGGATGTGAGGTGACAGTCGTAAGTGCATTGCTAATTACATATCTGCGTGCTTACATGTTTGTGCTCCTTAGATGTTAATAATTACCTGGTTTACTGCTGATGTTTCTATATGAATGATTCATGAATTTCCGCAGGCTGCTTGTTTTTGTATTTCCTGCACACTCTGAAGCATTAACCTGTTAAGTTATTCATGCAGCGCCTAATATCGGTCCTAAATTGTGCATTTATATCATTACATTGGCACCACGTATGGTTATCAAATGCCTTGGAATTCAGTTCTTAAAGTTTGTGTACAATTATCTTGTTTTTGCTCTAAAAATTTACTTTTTACAACATTTACTCATCTTGTTTTCATGCAAAGTTAAAGACGTATTGTATAGTAATAATATTTACTGAATACACTTATTATATTATATTATATTGATTCCTGAAAAGGGTGTGACTTTGGTTTCAAAAAATGTACATATAAATCACTTAAATCCTTTGTTGTCGCCAATTCCATAGTACAAAAAAAAAAACAAAGCGTCACAACTGTTGTTTATGGTTGGGAAGCTTCAGGTAAAAATTGTTTTGTCAGCGTGGTCACTGGTCACTCTATGGTATGTATCTACAATTATTTAAATTACACAGCCCAGGATGTCATTATCAGATTGCCAGAATCCACAGATTGCCTCCTTGCTGCAATTTCCCTGTCACTCACAGGCCATAGAAAAGTATTATTCAGGTAATGGCATAGTGTCGGGAGCGGCGTTACAACAGAACCCTACAGCACTTAGTCCCAGCGCTAATGCTTCTAAAATGTCTCTGCAAAGAAAATTACAGAATCCTCTCAGACCTGTCTTGTGAAATGCTTTGTGGACCGGCTGTCATATCAAAATCACACCTAACGCTTCAAGATTTCCATCTCGTCATATATGCCAGTGTGATTAATTTGCATATCCTAGCATAACCCTTTTGGCGGTGTACTGGTCATATTTTTCAGATCTGGATGGAATACTGAACATCGAATGCCACATTTTCTGTTCACGTGTTGAAGTAGACGAGGCTTCTGCTTCGAAACGTGTTGGCGTGTTTCTTGTTTAGGACAAAAGGACTTTTACTTAATCCTCAGACCACTTTTGACAGCTTTAAAAATGAAGCTGTCAAAGGAGGTCTGAGAATAAAGTAGATAAAGGATAGATAGATGGAGGATAGAGTAATAGATTAACCAATACAGTAAAAATAGACAACGACAAATAGTCAGCAATAAAAATGTACAGGACATTAAAAACAAGATAAATATGGTCTAAATTGGTTTGAAAAGTTTGAAATGTTATGCTATAATAATACATTTGTGATTCTTAAAGATAAATTATAGTTCTGCAATCAAGTATCCACTGACAGACAGACAATTATTTTATTGATCAAATTCCGGTGTTCAGCAGAAGTCCAGGTTTGTTGTACAATGACAATGTTTAAAACCAGGTTAAAGACAGTTCTGTTTAGCTGTGCATACAACTGAGGGATTTTATATTTTTATCTTTCTTTTTAATGTTCTGTGATTATTTATGATTTTAATGCTTTCTTGTTTTGTTCAGCACTTTGAGTTGCCTCGTGTATGAATTGTGCTATATCAATAAACTTGCCTTGCCTTGCCTACAGTCTGACAGCCGAAGAAACAAAGGATCTCTTAAAACGTTCCGTTCGGCAGCGTAGTGCTATAAGCCTTTGGCAACGGTTACTCCTTTGAGCGGCCAAAGTGTCATGCAGAGGGTGTGTGGAATTACCCAGAATGCCCTGTTTTAGAGCACTCATCCTTCTCTCCAGCACAGCTCCCACAGAGTCCACTCTTCTCCCCATCACAGAGACACATTTCCTGATCAGCCTGTCGAGCCAGTTACTGTCTCTCTACCTAGCAAGCCTGAACATAGATCGAGCGATGGGTTTTGCCTTCACTGGCCGACAGGGGAACTTTGCGCTGTTTTCCACATTGTGTTAAATAAACTCCTGCAAGAAGGCAACGCATCCAAATCACTCTGGTGGCTTTCTCTTTCCTCATTTCAGAATGTTAACAGTTTTGGAGGCTCTGCTGGTGTTACTTACTTACTTAACCCTCCAGCCCATCACATCAATATACTTCTTTGTGCTTTCTTTGAAACTAGAAAGGCTTTTCTTCAGTTCCATTCAATGTATTTCATCGCAGGCCAACACGGTCTTTGCAACTTGTGATTTAAGATTGCCATAACTCTGGTCATGCCATATTGTCACGTCTCATTGTTGATTGTTGTGATTTTCTCGTTGCAGAGAACCATGCCATGGCGTCCCACTCGTTGGTAAGCATTCGGATTCTGGATGTCAACGACAATCCCCCGGAACTGGCTTCACCGTACGAAGCCTCCATTTGTGAAGATGCCAAGCCCGGACAGGTAAGCCAAGCAATTTTAAGGGTAGAACATTTGGTGGAAGATTCGGTTTGTGGAGGACATGCATGAGGCCTATTCATCACAGGTACGGCATTGTGCTGGCTGTAACTTTGGCTCTTGTTTGATAATGCAAGCCAACTTTGCAAATTGTGTTTGGAAATACAAATTCAACAAACCAAGACTCGGAGACAGATGGTATGCATGTGAAAAAAGATGTTTCCGTTCTCGAATGGCTTTGCCTTTTAGGTGCTAAAGATTCATTCTCACACATTCAACCGAAATAGACAATGTTTTAAATTGTTCTGGTTCTGGGAAACAAAATTAAATGCAATCCTCAGAGGGACAAACAAGGATATATTTAACATGTCCCGTAGTGAAAAAGTTAAGATAGTCATAGAGTTATTCTGCAGCTTATGGGCTGTGTTCAGAATCCTACAGTTTTTATGTCTAAATGATAAAAGGAAAGACAACAATGAAGCTGCATGGCATGTCTCACAGCCTAATGGTGGAATGGTAGCCTGGTCTTACCATACCATCGCTCTAATTTCATTTTGTACGAAGGTCTAGGTTTGCCCCATTGAGCTCCGTTAACAGGTGGGAGGGATTATCTCCATTTCCCTTTTGATCTGAGTTTACTGTGACGTATGTAAAACGCCCGAGTGAGTGAGGCATTTAGCATTCAGCCTAACTTTAGCTTTTTGCCTAGCATTAGCCATCTCCTTTGCCACTAACAAAGCCCGTGGGGAGTAGAGCCACAACATCTTTTTAGAAATGACATTTGCAAAACATTCCTCTTGTTCCGGCTTCCATTTCTTGATTGGTTCCTTCATTGATTGATTTTTAATATTTTGCTTCTATGGTTAATAACTAATTTTTTAAGATAACTTGCGCATTCAGACTTTGCCAAATTGCGGGCTTTATTTTTGTGTGACTCACGGTGCAAATGAAGCGTGTCTCAATTTGCTGAAAATAAATCAGTGGCTCTGTTCTCTCTGTTTAACAATTGTACATTTTTACATTTGTATTCAATTGTAGTTTCTAATCTTTGTACAGCTACGCTATCATTCCGTTTTGATTAATTCATAATTGCATATTCTTATTCCCGTACATCACATTCACTGTTATTTTTTTCCGTTCTTTCTATCTTGGCAAAGGCTCAATTTCTAAAAAAACAGGCAGAGAGAATCGTTCTTCTTCTCTCTCCATTAAACATTTTTGGAGCATTGTACTCGGTCTGTTCATACCCTGCTCTGTTTACTATGTTAATGAGAGTGATTTAACTTCCCCCTCATTGATTTCCATTCTAAAGACTCGTTTTTTCTTTACAGTCCGACTGAACACGAATTACTTTTATGTGCCTCATTACCGTACACTAACCCCGACCCCGGCATCTATTCCTTCGGGTTCCATTTTGCCACGAGCTCCCGTGCACTCGTCATGATTAAAACAAACCAACCCATTATAAAGTCTCTTCCCCTCAGTCAACAGGCACCGCGCTGAGGTGGACCCAATTATCATGTGCAAAGCAAAGGAATAATTAAAAAGCATGGGGCCTCGATGCTGGAAGCTGCAGTAATACGTGTAATGAGGGCGGCGTGCTCCACACTCTTAAACGTTTATGGCCTGCAGTCTGCCTTCTGTGCCGCCGCAGAACTGACTCCAGCTCGGTTGCACTGAGACACTCGTTAGCCGTTTAGCCGATTACTCAGTCTCTACTTTTGTTAATAGAATGTTGGATTAGTTGAGTAATTATTGTATTCCAAGACTGTCTATGTCCAAGTTTCCACATGTGTTAACATTTACTGACATTATTGGTCATCCCACTGCCTATGGACCATTTCCTTCTATGTAAGATAAGATGAGATAAAATATTCCTTCATTCGTCTCACAGTGGAGAAATGTTTGTGTCCATCCATCCATCCATCCATTTTCTTCCCCTCAATCCATTTCTGGGTCGGGGGGTGACAGTCAGAGCTGCACCCAGTACACAGAGCAACAGCCCCTCACTGATCCTGCTGCAGGTGCTGAGTCCACAGGTAAGTAAGTAAGTAAGTAAGTAAGTAAGCTTTATTTATATACCGCCTTTCACAGACCAGAGTCACAAAGCGGTTTACAATTGTTATTTTTGGGCATTTGTCTCTCACTCCACACAGAGATGGGAGCGGGGTCGCCGAACACGAGGCGCATGCCAGACCTATTGTACATATTTTTAGTGGTAGGGGAAACCGGAGTACCCGGAGGAAACCTACGCAGACACGGGGAGAACATGCAAACTCCACTCAGAAAGGCCCTGGTCCGGCCGGGATTCGAACCCAGGACCTTCTTGCTGAGAGGCAGGAGTGCTATCCACTCAGCCACCGTGCCGCCCAGGGGCCTTGATCGGTGATTGGGGGAAAGTGGGGGTTGTCTTGCCCAAGGACACAATGATAGCAGTCATCAGTAGGAGACATGAAGTCGGTCTTGTGGTGGGCCCGAACCCACGACCTTCAGGCTCTAATTCCAATGCTCTACCAACTGAGCTACTGTCGCCAAAACACAATTTTAGTGTCATTGTTGCACATTACAGCAGAGAAAGAAGGCAATAAGAGCACTCAGACTGCACACATCAAATAGTCTATTATTTAAGATAAGACAATATAATTAAAATAAGAAAAAGAATAAAATAGAATAAAATCTGGAGCTACAATTGATTCAGGAGTATTTACTTATGTGTATATTGTTCTTAAACAGCAGAGAATATGAGCAGAATAAACATCAGTAATAATATCATAACAATTATATTAACATAATTAATCATAGAATAAAAAAATAAAAATAAAATAATAATACAATATTATTAGTATTGATTATTCATAACATCAGTAATAATATCATAATATAAGGTGTTTTTTTTATTGCATTTTATTGCCCACCATGAGACCTTCTCCACCGACTCCCACTGATGTCTGCTGCCGTTGTGTCCTTGGGCAAGCCACTTAATCCCACTTTGCCTGGATCTCCTGCAGTAAAATCAGCTGCTCTGATTGCAAGCCCCGCCTCCTGCCCCAGAAATGGATTAAGGGAAAGAAAATGGATGGATTGTGTTTGAAGTGTCATTCAATGCACTGTATTTAAACACAAAACAAGCAACAAAAAACAAAAAATGTGATATAATGTCTGAGATGTGTTGTTGTGAAATCGACTTTGTAAAATCGTCCCTGAATTAAATCTAACATTCAGCATGAGAAGATGTGAAGGAAAACAGGTGGAGATTAGGTTGATATTCAAGAAAACTCTTCTTTCAATCTGATTTCATTCCCAGATATTCATGAACTCAATTTGGGTCTGGTTATGATTCTATTTTTTTGTGCCTTAACAACAGCCATAATTGACCAAAACTTAGACTTCGATTTAGACTTAAACAGACTTTAATGACCCACAAGGGAAATTGCATAGTCACAGTAGCTTGCATATTATTCCACAATATCTACACACGAGACCTAAAGTATATTTATTCAGCACATCTCACAGACAAAACAAGTCACAAAGTGTGTCACAATACTTCTGAAAATACAAAGAAATGTACAAATGCTCAAGAGAAAAAGCCCATAATAAGGATGAGCACATGCGTGAAATAGACTTTAACAAATACATGGTCATTGGATGGTTTTTAGAGAAGTCGACCGTAGGAAGGAGGCTCCAAAGTGTGTGTGCTAAAGTCTGGAAGAATCCCATCTCCTCTGCTCTGGAAGCGAGGGACAATCAGCAGCTTCTGACCCACAGATCTCAGAGCCCGAGAGGAGGGTAAGGCTGGATCAGATCTGGTGCATTAGATGGAGTTTGACCATGCGTGGTTCTAAAGCAGGGGTGCCAAATATATTTTACTCAGAGGACCAGCATTAATGTGGTGCCATGTGGAGGAAGGAAATAAAAGGGAACCCAAAAGGCAGGACTGAAAATAAAGTCTCATTTACTGATATGAAACTAAATCCGGGGTAACAATGAAACGCACAAAAATCAACAAGCCAGAAAACAAACGTGAGATACACAATAGAAAACAAGTGGGGACAAGCACAAGATATAAACGCACAGTGCAAAAAATTATGAAATATAATGCCTAGCGTACATCGGACTGCCAACTGATGATATCCGTCGCCTATGAGTTGCTGCCCCGTACACATCGACAATCTGGCGAAAACGGGCAACTCCTGTATCAGGCCAGTCTCGGGAATAACAGCGACTGGCCTCAACTACAGTGTGTTTTCTGTCATAAACTGTAGAGGGCGCACAATACACACATGTAGTTGGAGCGCGCACATCGGGTGATATCTCCGGATCTGAGGATAACTAGTTGGCAACTGACTGAATCCGGAGATCGACTGTTTATCTCCAGTTGTAAGAGCGCTCACATCGACCGATTTCAACTGATCATCTCCATCATCTACTCTCAGTTGCCAAAAGCCGCCTTAGTTGTCTCCGGTTACTCTGTCGATGTACGCAAGGCCTTAGGCAATACATGCTTGAATAAAGTGTTTTTGGGTATATTTAGACTGCCTTAAACAAGATTTGCCAATGGAAGAAGCCGTTTCGTCTTTTTTCAAGGGCTACTGCAATTATATCTCATTCTAAGGAAGATATTTGTGCCTGTTCCTTTGGCAACTGTTTGAATTAAGATAAAAAACACTTGATTCAGGCATTTTTTCACCTCATTTATCATTTATCATTTTTTGCAATGCAGGTAAATCACCTTGACGCAAACAATCTATAGGGTTGGAAGGAGAACTCAAAAAGGCAAGACAACAGATGAGGTTGTTGTAAAGAAATCAAAATTTAAAATGGAAGACCACATCATGACAGGAATATGCCGTATACCGTTTCATGTTTTGCTAAAAATGTCGATCGAGAAGGGCTCTCAACCTCTTTTATGACTGTATGATTTGTGTATGCTACTTTTATACCCAAGTATCCATTGTATTCTTAGTGGAAGGTTTTTCTTTGAAGCTCATCTTGTGCCTAAAATCATG